ATTCAGTATAAAATAAGAGGAACCTGCTTCTACACTCTCTGCCAGAAATAGTAGATACGGGTATGCATAAACATGACCTGTCTATAAAATTCTGTGCGTTATGTGCTTTGGAGGGGGAAAACTGTGTGACTTTAGATTCCTGAAAATAAAGATTTTTTTTTTAAAGCCCATGTCACTCTTGTCCCATTTTAACTCTCTGGTCCTTGTGATTGAAACTCTTTACTTTGGGAACAATGCCCATTGGTTCTCCCAGTATATCATACACACTCAATTTCTTTCGTTTCATTTTATTTCTTGCATTGTTTGGAAAAGGAAGTATTTGTTTTAAATTGCTTCCTGAAATGATGGCTACTGCAAAGATTCCAGCTGCAGGATGTGTGAAAAGCTTCCTTCGGAAGGGCGGCCGTGCGGCCGTTACAGTTTAGCAACTGATTTACCAGTAAAGTACTGATTTACCTCTGTGATAGCTTATAGTTTCTTCTGACCTGCTTAAGAACCGCCCCAACACACACTTTTTTTTTCTGTTTGAGGATCATCGTCCAGAACCATGGTGGCGAACCTATGGCATGCATGCCATAGGCACGCAAAGCCCTCTCTGTGGGCATGCGTGCCATTTCCCCAGTTCAGCTCCACCGTGCATGCGTGCATGCCTCCCGCCAGCCAGTTAGCTTTTGGGTCTCTGCCGCCCATGCGCGGGGGTGGGTCACGTGCTTGGGGGCTGAGGAGCATGCGTGAGGGGTGTATGTGTGAGGGTGCAGGGCTTGCATGTATGGGGGGCACATCTTGCATTTTGGGTATGTATGTATGTGTGCCGCCCACACTTTGGGCACTCGGGGCCCAAAAGGATCGCCATCACTAATCTAGAACCGTTGAGCTGTGAGTGGCCTGCAGTGGCCCCAAAACATGTGGAAGGCTTCATTATGCCAAGTGCATGGGAATTAGTCTGAAATAATTTTTAATTGCTTATGTGAACCTAAATCTGTTCATTTCCTTTGGATAAAAAGGGACTTTAAAAACCGCTTTTCCTAGTATTGTGCCAGTGTGTGATGAATCCTGTCTCCCTGCAGTTTAATTTTGGAAGGTCGGAAAATCCTTTTTATGACTTCCTCTGTCATGTCTAGATTGGCTTATGAGCTTGATTAATTGGTCTGGAACAACGCTGGGTGTTTTCTACATGTTGGAGGAGTTATACAACTGGAAATCTATAGGATTCCTTAAGATAGGGACATATACAATTGTTTTAGCCTTGGTGGCACAGTGGTTAGAATGCAGTACCGCAGGCTAATTCTGCTGACCGTCGGCTGCGAGCAGTTCAGTAGTTCAAATCTCACCAGGCTCAAGGTTGACTCAACCTTCTATACTTCCGTGGTTGATAAAATGAGGACCCAGATTGTTGGGGACAAGATGTTGACTCTTTAAACAACTTGTAGAGGACTGTTAAGCAATCTGAAGCGGAATATAAGTCTAAGTGCTATTGCTATTTACCTTGGCTTGGTTCCCACAAACTATGCAGTGTGGTTTGTTTGTTTGGGGCTTAGCCCTCCCTTAGTATATTGTGAGAAACTAATCATGGCCCACAGATTGTAGTTACATAGTTTAAGCATCACAAATGCAAAGACTGTGAAACCCAACCTCTGAATCGGATCATTGTCTTTTTGACTGGCTGTAGTTCTGCATGATTTCATATAGGGACTGGATAGTGGATATTAGGGTTTGGACTCTCTGCACGTAAAGAATGTGCTATTTTTCTGAACTAGCATTCTGCTTTTAATTATAGTTTATACTAAGTAAAACATTCGCCAGTTCTTCTGCTCCATTCAACAACTACTTGAGTCACTTGTGACACAGTAATTATCCATTTATATCTCTATGCTCCATTTCAGTCAAACTCCTGAGTCATGCTTTATAGTGCTATGATTTCTATGTAGCTATAGGAAGCAGCAAATAAGTATGTAATCTTTGGACCCCATTTCTTCTAACTAATTTAAGACAAAAAACAAAAACAAAAAAAGTTTTCCTCAACCAGGCAGTAAGATAGTACAAAGTTTTGGATTTGGCTGTTGAATGTCCAGATTCAAGTGCCCACTTAAATATAGAGATTGTTCAGTAATTTTGAGTCAGTTACTGTCTCTTAGTTTAGCTTAAATGAGAGAATAACATAAGGGAGACATTTTCCCCTTCCTGAGGAAAGGCATGATATAAATGCAATAACTAAACTCCCAGAGTTTTTAATCAGTATATATGATGGTACTTTTAACCTCCCCTTCATTTATCCTCTCCAAAGATAATTTTTGGACAGTGATAACCAATCTGATAACCTCTGCTTGTTTCCCCAAATATTCTTTGCCATCAGCTATCCTGGCTGGGGACGGAGGAGTTCCAAAACATCTGGAAGACATTAGGTTGTGTTAGACTGTCTGTTTTAAATAGTTTCTTTAAAATGGAAGCCGAGTCCTTTATGATCACACCGATTCCTGCCTAGAGCTTTCAATTGCCTGCATGCAAACCCACCGCTTGAAATTTATAATAGAAAATCAATGCTAACTTTAAAAACGCCATAAATAAACTCTTTAAGCACTAAACTCAAATTCGTCTCATTCTGTTTTAGGGAGGCAGGTAATTGGTCTCCTAGCAGAATGGCTCTGGTGTGAATGCCAAGACGAATAGGGTAATGTCTGACTTTTTGTGTTCCAGACCAGACATAACCAGATCTCTATTTAATCGTTGCTTTACCAGTTCTGAATGGATGGGATGTTTCATGGTGCCAAATGACACACACTGTCTCTCTTGCTCTTGTTTTTTAATAGAAGCTAAATGGGTTTCTGGAACAAAATTGAAGTTTCTTTCCTCCCCTCCCCTCATGCATCATTTTTGTTTATGGAACAGCTTCTTGGTTTGCTCATGTTTTCTTTCAGCTGGCTGGTTGGTTTTTTGCTTTTTTTTTTGTTTCTTTGGATTGGGATGTGTTAAAAGTATCTTGTAAGTTAGTTTTACTGGTCAGTTTTGTTAAAAAAAAAGTAAATATTGCATAAGTGAAAAGTTAAAGGGTAAATGCTTTATTAAGAAAGGAAGGGCAAAATTTTTGCGAGCTAAGGAGATAGCAGCATGTTCTGCCATAATTGTGAGGATCCAGGCATCAGTAGTAACCAATTATAATGGGCCTATAGTATTTGGTGAAGATGTAGAAAAGCTTGGGGGAAAGTAAAAAAGATCAGGAAAAAAAAGGTAATAATGAACAGGAAAAAAAGAGAGAGATCTGATTCAAACAGCAAAAGAGATAACAAGGTTGAACCTCAATTTTCTGCATTCTCTCCTGTGAAACTATCTTATGCACGTATTCCTTGTCTTGCAAGCAGTCATTTAATGATCATTTGCAGTTAACAATGGCTCGGAAAGGTTTTTATATGGCCCATAAAACATTTCTGGCCATTGTAAAATGTCTCATCACCACCATTCCGTGATCAAGTGATTGCATTTCAGGTGCTTGCAGGTCTGTGGTTTGCGAAGTGCCCTGTGATCATCATTTGCAATCTTCTCTGCCGACTTCCCCAGAAGGGCAGTGGGGAAGCCGCCAGTGAAGATTGTAAGCAGAGGGGACCAAGAGGAGCTCCCCACATAGCCATCTGCAGGAGACCTTGACTGGTTCTAAGGCCAACCCATGAGCACGAAGCTGCTGCAGTCTTGGATACCTTAGGCCTGTTCCCCACCCAGCCCTCAGCTGGCTCCATGGTCTATTGGCACTCAACTTTCTGCAGCTTGACACAGCCAATTTGAGTATGGCTTTTCTATAGAGGCCTTCTTGTGCCCTTCTGAAGCAGATGCTATTTTTGTGATCCTTAAAGCCTCCTTCAAAAGGAGCTTCCTAAAGAACTATTGTACAGGGGAGTAGGTCTGCTGTGTACTTGATAGCTGTGCATGGGAGAAAATATTGATAGGAATGGTTAGTTATGAAAGAATGAGGAATGCATATCTTCTAAAATGAAAGGATTAGGAGCAGACTGGCTGCTTTTTCCTGTAGTTACTTATGTGCAAGTATGTGGCATGTAATTTGCAGGACTTTTTTTTAGGTCAACATCTTAATCATAGTTTATTCAACCCAGTTTTGCATAAACAGATGCAATGGGTTGTGTTAGTACAATGCATTAGGCAATAATATTATTGGCCTGATTGTTATAGAGATTAATATGCAATCACAGCCAATATAGAGTCGCTTTTGGTGAGTTGAAGGGCTATATTAGTTTGAGAAGAAAGAAACAAATGTATGGAGTCACATGTATGTGCACAATTCTCATTTTCTCTCCCCTCCCCCACACCAGTCACAGTGATTGAAATTGGTGTGTTTGGCAACCAGCTTGCATTTACAACTAGCTGCAGAATCTTGTGGTCATGGGATTGCAATTGGTGACCTTTTGGGCTGATTTCCTGCAAAATAAGATTCATCAGGGAGTTGGATTTGGTTAACAATTATAGTGATTTTCTTAGTGACTGCTGTAAAAATTGCCATATAACTTGGTCCAACTCAACTTATAGCCGCAATGACAACTACAGAAATGCTGGTCCCAATTGTATTCCTAAATCAAGGATTAACCTGTACACGCATGTCTATTTGGTTCTGAGTGTTTTAATTATTCTTCATGGCAAATAATTCCTTGAAGCAAAGTGCTACTTCTTTAACTTCATGCTTATTTATTCTCATTGGTGTAATCAAAGCCGAAAGCTCCTCTATGTACAATACGTAACCCTGAGAAGTTTGGAAGAAAGTTACTTACCCTCTTAAAAATGCAATATCCTATGATGCCCTTCTGTCTCATTTTCATTGCTGTTTTTCTCAATGATGTTATATTATTCCATATCCCTGACAAACTTCAGCTTTATTGAAACAATTTTTTTTAACCAAACATTTTTTTTAATGAGGGTAAAAAAAAAAGGTGGGAAGTATTTAAAAGGGATTTGGGGAAAAAGTACCAGGAGAAAAAAATATGACCCTATTATTTCTTCAGTAGAAGACTCAATCAAAGTGAAACCTCCCAATTCCCCTCGTGCGGAGTGGGTGCTGCAGCCTAGACCTACACCGCCCAAAGGGAGAGACCCGAACGTTTGGAACCGGCTGAAGGACCAGTATTTTGGTAGGAAAAAAACCCAACATTTTTTTCACAGATGGCCAGTTATTGTCAAAAGAGCGGGATGGCTGCCAATTGTATTCTCTTTCTGTCTCTCGTCTCTCACTTCGGTGGTAGATGATCCATGATGCACAAGGCCGCCTTTTCTGTGTTGCTCTTTTGGTGAGGGTAAGGGGCGGGGGGGCGACTTTTACTTGACTTTGCTGCATGCCGGGGGTGGTGATAGGGATATTGAGAATGCCATTGTCTGTTACTCTTCCCAATTGCTTGGTGGTTATACAGGGCGATAGCCTTGATTCTTCTTCCTTTCCCCTTTGTGTGAGCTGATTATTATAGGACTGTGTTCGGCATCAGCCGCCTAGTGAATGTGATTTAGAATAGGGACCATGTTGAACTGCAAAGACAACATTAAATTAAAAAACAAACAAACAGGCTTAACTCCCAGGCATCTGGTTGCTTCCCTGACTCACAGAAACGATCCCATGGCATAAGACTTAAAAAGATGCTACAAGATGTGAGTTGGTTGCCAAAATGTGGGTGACCACTGGAAAGCCACAAAGAAAGCACTCTCTGCCTCTTTTAAAATGTGTTAGATTTAAGACTGCCACACTCTAGAACGCCTCTGAGTGGGTTTATTATATCCTAAAAGGATAATAATAATAAAAAAGCAGTAATAGAAGAAACCATGAATGTCTGGACAAAACAAATTACACAAGGGACACCAAGGAACAGCTCAAGAGCAATCCTAACCCACAGCCTGGCAAAAGAGCCGGGATTTAAAGACTTCTGGAATCCTATTAGGGTGGGATTTTGGAGGGCGAGAGATGCTACGTCAGAAGCCAGCACTACTGGATAGTGGTCATCTGGAGTTCTGCACCCCAGATTGGATAGGCCTAGCCCGAGACTGATGCCCTGCTTGAATCTGCAATTTCATTGGCTGAGAGCTTCCCCCTCCTGCCCTTGGAGATGGAGCATTTAGTTGTTGTTTTCCATCAGCTTTGGATGCAAGACACCTCTGTGTGAGAGCTTTATTAATCAAAAATGCCTACCATTTCCTCGCTTTGCTGCTGCCAAAAGCTGCCAGGGTTGGAGCACAGTGGCTGAGCTTTTAAAAAGGCTGAGTCTGGGTTTATTTAGTTTGTAAATGAAAGAGTTGTTTCAAGTTCTAGGGCTTTTTCAGTCTCTCTTTTGGATAGCAGAGCCGAAGATTGAGCAGAGCCAACATTTACAAACATTCTAGGGTATTTTATATCCCTTAAAAAGAAAAGGGTTTTTTTTGGCTTCGACCACATTGATTTTTAATAAATGTCTCCCCTGGTTTCATTTACAATCGTCTTCTAATTTCAGTTGTGGTTGTTGGTCTATAATATTATTATATGTAATGTTTCCCTCCGTAATATGAAATGATTTTTTGCAGGTGCCAATGTCCAACTTGATCTCAGATTGCATCTGAATGTTCCCTTTTTCTTAATTTATAGTAATCCAATCTTCCTTTTCCTTGATATTTTCCAGATGTGCTGGAATGAGAACTCCCAAAATTCTCTCACAAGACAAAGCCATGGTCTCTGAGAATTGTGGGAGTTGTAGTCTCAGCAGCTTGAAGGTTGAAGAAGGTTAATGGAAAATGTATCAGCCTGGCCTTAGGTTAATAACATTTGAATTTTACTTTCTTTGAAAACAATAGCAACACAATACCGCTGTATTCTGTAAAGATGTGACCTTATTTCAAAAGTCTGCCACTTCAGTTAGTGGGAATAACCTTAGTTTTATTTTATTCAGGAGCTTCAGATAAGCACTTTACATTGCTAATAATTACATGGCTAAATGAGATTGCAGTATCAGAGGAATACCATGAATGGAATTGGATAACTTCAGAGATCTGCTAATTTCTCTCCTCAGCCTTGATAGAGAATTCTCTTAATCTTTATAAAGAAGAGTAGTGGCATCCTGTGAATCGAGAGTCCTTTTATCGTATTTTTGAGAGTGTAAAATATTATTATACATGTCACTCATTATAATTCCCTTTGGGCAAGTTGTAATCAGAGTTGTAATCAACTCTGTTCTCAGTCAGAGGTTGAGTTCAGATATTGGGCAAAGTCATGATGCTCTTTGCTTGGTTGGGATTGATGTATAAATCTGCTACTGTCTTGTAATTGATAAGTGGGGGGGCCTGTTCAGGAAACCAAAGTTACAAATGAATGGTGTAAACTATGAAAGTTACAGTCTCTCTTGCTGTTTGTTTTCAACTCGGGGAAGGAAGAGCAGAGGAAGAATAAGTGACACGATATCCACTGATAAGACTAAGCTGCGTGGTCTAAAACTTTTCAGTTTAGTTTTTATGTAAAACTTAAGATTAAAAAAAATGTTGATTGGGTTTCTTTTTCTCTACCTGTCCTATGCGTATTAATTATATATATTTATTTTTGTGCCGAGCAGAAAAGGGGCGTTGGTTCTTACCTGATACGCTTCTTTTCGTAGAGCTGTTGAGAGTGTCCAGGTTGGGAGGAGCTCCAGTCTCGGCTCTTCCAGGCTGAGCTTGAAATTGAGGAACGCCCCCTCACTGTCACGTGGTCCTCGGGCGCTCCCCAGGTTTTTGCACAGACGAGAAGGAAAGTCCTGTTCTCATCACACTCAGGAAAAAAATATATTAGATTGCTCGGTCGAACAGCCAGGTTTCCCACCAGACGGCCTACGGGTGGGGCTGGACACTCTCAACAGCTCTACGAAAAGAAGCGTATCAGGTAAGAACCAACGCCCCTTTTCCATAGAGCTGTCTCGAGTGTCCAGGTTGGGACATACCAAAGCTTGGCTAGTCCTGCGGGTGGGGCCCCGTCTGGTATAGAATCTCTCCTGGAACCCTGATGACCCGCTGGAAGGCATGCCCAACAGGAGAAAACCCCTGGATATTGGAATGTCTCAACAAGGGGCCTAAAGAGGAGGCGGAGCTATCCGGGAGGCAGTCCCGCCAAAGAGGCCAACAGGTGTGCACTGGGACCGGGATTCAAGAAACTGGGAAGATCGACCCGTGCGGGGAATTCCCCTGGGAGAACTCTGGGACAGAGAGAAGGAGGGGAGGCGCAGAGATCTGTGTGAGGCCCGGGAGCGCAAGAAGGGACCCCGGTTAGCATTGAATGGGGGTAGATGTGTTGCCGACCAGTTGCCCAGGGCAGGGTGAGGAGGACAAGAGTGCTCCTGGGGTAGGAGTCTGTTGCAAGCAGGGGTTAAAGGTCGGAGTAGAGATAGGCCTTCTCGCACTCCTTCCTCTTTTTTTTTTTTTTTTAAAAAGACAAGCGCCTGAGGGCGACTGCATTATCGAGAACGATGGAACGAACCTCTCCCGGATCCCCGGGAGGGCTTCCTGGAAGGATTACCTCCGGACCCATCCGGCTCCGCTCGGTAGGGAGATCTATAGGGAGAGGATCGGTAGTATCTGGCAAAGGAGGAGGAATGAGAAGAACCCTGGCGAGGAGAGGGGGGGGAGCCTCTGAAGTCGGACCTCCTAGAGAGGGAAGGGAGGTTCTTGCGCTTGTTCCGGGTCTCGGCCAGGAATGGGTCGAGAACCGGTCCAAATAACTTCCCCCCAGAGATGGGGGCTATTGCTAGCTTAGTCTTGTTTTTAACGTCCGCTTGCCAGTGGCGGAGCCAGAGTAGACGGCGGGCGGTAACCTGGGACGAAATGGCCCTGGTGGAGAACTTTGCCGCCTGGAAGGTGGCGTCTGCCGAAAACTCGGCCGCGGCCAGGATCTTGGCAATGTCCTGGTGCGCCCTGAGATTGGCTGTGGGGACATGTTGCTTGAGCTGCTGGAGCCACTTGATGGAAGACCTGGTGAAAAAAGACGCGGCAGTGGAAGCCCTGACTGCCCAAGCGTCAGAGAGGTGAGCGCGGCACAGGGCCAGTTCAGCTCGCTTGTCCTCGGGCTGGAGAGCATCGAGTGAGTCGCTGGGAGTAGAGCGGGAAACCAGGCCTACCACGGGCTCGTCCACGGGGAGGGGATCGAGCAAGGTGGAGAACTGCGGTTCCAGGTTAAAAAACCGCTTGTCCTGGGCGTTGGGGGGGGAGGGGGCCCCGAGGAGGCCAGCTGCCTAGAAACCATGTCTGAGAATATGGGCGGGACAGGGATCACCTCAGTTTCCGCCACGGGCTGAGAGAAGAGAGAGTCGGGAGGAACCCCTGCCGCCGCTGGGTTGGGTGGGGGAGGGGGGTTCAGGCCCGAGGTGGTCCTGGCTTTGAACAGGAGGGACCTAAATAGGTGCGGTTTAAAGAGCCCTAGAAACGCGGGCTGACCTGGAGGGAGGCCCTCGTCCTCCGACATGTCCCCTTCTAGGGGACCTGTTCCCGAAAAGAGTTCACTGCCTATGAGGGACCTCATGTCAAGGTCCTGCTCGTCCCCAAAGAGGGAAGGGTCCCCGGGTTCTTGGGCCTCCATTCCCTCCAACTCCAAAGGTAAGGTTAAGTCCTCTTGGGGAGTTGCCTGACCATGCGAGGCCGCTGATCCTAGGGCCTCGGGGGCCGCGGGCCGAGGAGCCAGGCCGGCCAGCTGCTGCATCTGTTGCGCTACCCTTTGCCGGATGGCCAGCTCCATAGCCTGCATTAGGTTTTCGGGTATTTCCGCCATGGGGAGAGACTCCTCCGGGCGCAGTTCTACAGCAGTGGTGGGCAAGGTGACCTCAGGGGCCTGTCCAGGCTGTGGGGGAGAAGCAGAAGCAGGAGGGGAGGGGAGAGGAGGATGGGTGGAGGTTGATGGAACGGAAGGGTCCCGGGGCACAGAGCTTGACTCCTGAGAGCGTCTGTCAATTTCCCTTTCGAGGGCCCTGTGTCGCCTGAGGGCATCCCTTTGGGAAGCTTTGGATGGTTCCTGTGCCTGTTTGCGCAGGTGGTGGGATTTGGCCTTGGCCTTCAGAGAAGTGCCACGAGAGGTATTGTCGTCTGCCATCTGGAGAGGAGAGAAAAAAGGAAAAAAATTTTTTGGTTAATGCGAGGCGGTTAACGGGTCTGGGTACAGCCT